GTCTACCTTCCCTTTAGCAGTTGAGTGATGACACTTGGCCTGTGCCACCCAGGAATTCAATTACTTCAATTACTCCCATTGCATTTTAATTTCCTAATTCAGTCACTGCAATCCCTACTCTAAGGTGTGACCTACAGCAATGAGTAGAGTGATCATGGAGTTCTGAAGAGGAAGCTGGGGCTCCCCTCACAAATTTCGCTCTCAAAGTATTGATGAAAGGTGCATCTTCTGGGCTTTCCCAGATTGGGTAAGTAGGTCTTAAATGAAAAATCCACTCAGTCTGTCTAAGCCATTGAATCTCTTCCTCTCCATTTAACCAAGGTAGGTCTGGCCTTTCTAATTCCCACACTGTAGGTCACCTTTTGATCCAAGTTTTGGCCAACCAACCAAACAGTTACAGTTCTTCCTAACTCCCAAGCTGTAACATTAAATGCAGAATCTCTGCTTAGTGAGCCTATATCAACAAATTCAACCTGACTCAACTTTATGATTTTTCCACCACTATTCCACACCCTTAACATTCCTTTCCTTATATGCTCCCATTTCTGTCTATATAAGTTAGAAAACTCACATGGTTCTTTTGTAGCGTAGTGCAACCCCTCATGGGTCATATTTTGTAAATGACCTTTAAAGGCCTGGTAGGACTTGAGTTTATAGAAGTAAAAAGGGGTGCTGGGGGTGAGTCCTGAGGAAAGTCAGCATTGTCTTGCATGGCAACTGCATCAGAAGAGGCCATTACAGTTTCCTCAGGCAATACAGAGTCAATGTCCTCAGACAGAGGACAGAAAGGCCACTATAACTAGCAAGGTGACTTCTACTGGCAGAAACACTAATCAGAATTTAGGGGGTCAGGGTTCCCGGATTCATCAGGGTCTTTTCACACATCTCTGTTTCAACTTACAAGATCCCATTCTTTCCCAATCAGTGGCCTCATTTTAACAGCATACATGCTACAAGGCTAGGAGTTCAACTTGCATTGTAATTCAACCAGTAACCGGATAAGATTCTTTATATGATTTTCAGCAATCTCAGTCCTGAAGCTACAGACAGTAAGGATCTTCTTCAGGGCACACAGAAGCTTTCAGGTCATGTATGCGGCACTTGCACTGGGAATGAGAATCCCTGAGCTCATCCTTTTCTTTCAATAACCAGCCAACCTCATTACATTCATTAGAGTTCTAAAAATATTTCTATGTATAATATACACAGTCACCCAGCTCCCTGCTCCTTGGAGGGGTTGATTAGGGTATCAAATGGAGATATTTGTTTATCTCTATAAACACTACACACCATGGAAAATAGGTGCTCTCTCTACTACTGGAAATAGAGTCATTAGCATCTTCAAATATAAGTACATTAGAGATCCAATTTCAGAAACCCTTTGACCAATTTAGAAAAGTCATCATTAAAATTCTGTTCCTCTGGAAGCAGTTTTGGTACCCAAATAAAAATCTGTATTAGTCATGGTTCTCCAGAGAAACAGAAGCAAATATATGTTGTGTGTGTGTCTGTGTGTGTGTGTGTGTGTATGTATATACGTGTGTGTGTGTGTGTGTGTGTGTGTGTGTATAATCTCAACCTCCATGACTGTGTGAGCCTTTTTAAAATAATAAATACCTTCATGTATATATGAATTCCCTCAATCTGCTCTCTGAAAGCTGGAGACTCAGAAAAGCTGTGGTATAACTCCAGGTTCAAAGGTCTGGCAACAAGGGAATCCCAAGGTGGTCAGTCCAAGGACAGAAGAATACTGATGTCCCAGCTCAGACAGGCAGGCAGAAAGCAAAAAGGGGTGAATTACTTCTTTCTCTGACTTTTTGTTCTATTCAGTCCCTCACCAGATTGGAATATGTCCAGCCACATTGAGGAGGTCAATCTACTTTATCGATTCCACCAATTCAAATGCTAATCTCATCCAGAAACAACCTCACAGACACATCCAGAAATCATGTTTAGTATGGATACCCCATTTGCACAATCCAATTGAAACAGAATTAACCATTGTACCATGAATGCTAGATATCAGTATATGAAGAGTTGAAGACCACAGTGTAGGAGGACAGATCCCTGGATGGCATTGGCCAAGCCAGAGCTTTCCCTGTTGTTTGTAATTCTCAGGCAAAAGGTACTGAGAAAGCAACATTCTGAGATAAGACAGAAGTGTCAGAATATCCCAGAACACATCTTTGTTCCTCCTAAATTAGGATGTTCTGCAGTGTTTGCACTCAGAGACTTACGTGACACCCGGGGTTTAAAACCCAGAGCAAAGTGCTTTTGGCGGTCCCTCAGCTGCAATGCAAAGTGGGGTATGCACAGACCAGACTCTCCATTCTTGGCGGCTTTCATGCATCTTGAAGAACTGGCTTCTCATGGATTCCAGGCTTCTATCTATCCTTGCTGCCTGTCTATGAGTAATAAATTTGCTTTGCCTGATGGGCTGTGCTGTGTGAGTATTCTGCCTGACAAGATTTATTTTCTGGTAGCTGGGTTTGTGCAAAACTTCCTACTAGACCCAGGAACTTTTGCACATGGTTCTGAAACCAGACTGAATTATAAAAATTCCTGTTCTGCTGCTAGATCTTGGGCAAGGTACAGAACCTCTTTGTGTGTCAGTTTCCTCATCTGTGAAACAAAGATAGTAGTAATGTCTATCTTATTGGGTAGATGTGAGAACTAAATGTTTCATTAAAAGCTAAACCACTTAGCACAGTGTCAGGCATATAAGAAGTGTTTAATAAATGTCAGCTATTATCCATGTGAAGGAAAACGAAGTGTCAAACACTAAGTGTAAACACTTTTTTTTTCTTAAAATCTTAACTGAGGCTCTCAAATTTTCTTTTGCTTAAAAATTACTTTCATAAACTCACTAACTCAGACAGAGCTTGTCTTGATCCTCCACCATAAACCTCCTATGGTTATTATTCTGAAATGAAATAGAATGCATGTCAGAGTAGCAGATGTTGTCCATGCATCCCACATCACCTTGGTTCTGACCACCTCAGCCCATTCTGGTATAGATGGCAGCCCAGAAGCATGGGTAATTTTTACCTTCCAGGGGCAGGCTCTAATCAATGACCAATGGGAACTGGCATATAAATAGCCTACCTTCCTCACACTCTGGGTAGGACATTTCTGAGGTGTATGTCTCACACAGCTCTTGAGTTGCCGCAGCAGGGTTGAGCTTGAGTTGCCCATGGTGGGAATCTGCTTCATAACACACCCTGAGTGTTCGCTTTCCCAGTGTCACTTCTTTACGTCGTCTCCTGCTATTGTCTAGCACCAATGCCCAAATAAAACATCCCTAAATCTTTGTTTCTTGGGGAAACACTAAGACAATTAGCAATACAAATATGAAAACTACAAAAATGTGTTTTTAAAAATATTTGTTTTGGCCACGATTGATGCCTCACACCTGTAATCCCAGCACTTTGGGAGGCAGAGGTGAGCAGATCACTTGGGGTCAGGAGTTTGAGACCAGCCTAGCCAACACGGTGAAACCCTTTCTCTACTAAAAATACAAAAATTAGCTGGGCATGGTGACACATACCTGTAATCCCAGGTATTTGGGAGGCTGAAGCAGGGGAATCACTTGAACTTGGGAGGCAGAGATTGCAGTGAGCAAAGATCACATTACTTCACTCCAGCCTGGTGACAAAGTGAGACTCCATCTCCAAAAAAAAAAAAGAAAAAAAAATTCTACAAACAAACAAAAAAATATTAAAACACAAACCAAGCAAATATAAGAATTTCCAACTTATTCTACTTTGTGTAGAATTTGTTTTATGCCTTAACTATTTAATGGTTCCAGCATAACATATTATTCCTTTTTTAAATCTTTGACTTAAACATGCTGTCACATAGTGAACACTTCTATTCTTCACTACAATCTTATTTGAGACTAGAAGAATGCTTTTGACCTTAGTTGGAGTCCCTTGAACTCTGTGGGCTTCAAGCTAACTTTTTGTCTCTCATCCCAATCTCCATTTAGTATCAACAAAACATGAACTTCTAGTCCAAATAAAAATATCTTGGAAAAGACTTATAAGAAGACTCTTAAAATGTATTGATATTTGAAACAACTCTGAAGATGTATAAATGAATCAGGTAAGCACAGATTAGATTTCCTTCTAAATATAGTTTCTAAAAGAAGGAAGTCTTTGAGGGAAAATATTTGTGAGAATTTACTTCTTTGGTTTGGTTGCTTTTTATTTTTCTACTTAAAACATTTGAAGAATTGTTAAAATTTTTTCTTTTGAATAAAAGCATACCAAAATTCTCTTAAAATTGTCATTAAGAGATAATCATTTATAGGGAGAATGAATATTTAAAGTTCTTGCTACTTAGAAAACCAAATTCTAGAGGTTTGGCAAATTCCAAATAATTGTCTGAATGTCCTAAAGCTAAAGATTAAATATTTTTAAAAATTGTGCAATTTAAGATGAATAGACTTCAACATATGCTAAGTTTGTGCTAAATGTATAAATCATATGCATTATAGCTCAGAAAAATAAGTTGTAAGAAAGTTTGAAATTTGTTTACGTTGTGCAAATTCATTTACTAGATTCTATCAAAATTAATTTTTTTGATAAATTATTATCAGAGCCAAGTGTCTCGAAGTGAAACAATTCATATTAAGTAAATATGAATCACAGAAAGATTTTTTTAATACCTTTACCCGTATCTAATTAGGTTAGACAAAGAAATTCTGATAGAGCTGAGAAAACTCAATTATAAATGACACTACACATGCTTAGCCCTCATATCTTTTAATTTGCTTTGATAAAAATGTACAGTAGTAGGCTTCCAGGTAAAATACTTAATAGATGCATTTATTTTTAGGAATTTTTAATATATTTCCTTTTATAATTTGAATAGCCTCATTTTTATTTAAGAAGAAAAAGCATGTATGGTGATTACTTTTTTCAGTATTATATTTAAAAAAAATAAACTATTCTTCCTTCCCACAAACAAATCCTAGTCTTTAAATGGTTGTCCTTCTCCCTTTCTGGCTCTATCTCAGTAGTTATCTCTTCACTGTCTTGCCTGCACACACACACACAAATGCACACCTACTCCTCCTCCCCACACCACATGCACACAAGCTATCAGAATTTTTCTGTCTTTGTATCTTTCTATTTCTGTGTCTCTCTCTTTCTGGCTTCCTCTCTTTGATTCCCCCTTGTTCTGCCTTGTTATTCCCTATTCTCCACTTCCCCCATGTGTCCTCTGTGAAGTTTGCTCTTTAAAATTAAAGCACAAATAAAATAATTCATTAATTTGCCAAGATTATGTTTATAAAAGGAAGCATACAAGAAAGAAAATCACTCATCTTTTAAAGAGAGAACACCAGTAAATCGTAAAATAATGTCATAGTAAAATAATGCAGGAGTTCTTATTTACATGATAATTTAAAATGTTAAATGTGAGTTTAAGTTATGTATTATGCCTCTCAAAGGAGTGTTTACTTTTAAAATAAGGATACACTTCACTTGGTAATCTGAGGTGAAATGTAAGATTAAAACATTCAGATGTTCATGAAATACATACATAACTTCATTTATTTATGATCACTAACACACAGTAATCAAGGCCAAATTCATTATTCAATGATCATTTGATTCACCATGATATGTGTTTCAGAAGTAACGGAAAAGAAGTAAAGTCCACAGCGTGGAATGACAGATGACTTAGAAAATGGGATTTTATTTGTTCTTCTGTTGGGAGACCTAATCATTTGTCAATTTGAGAAGTTATTTCTTAATAAACATATACTGAATGAGCCTGATTCTTCCCTACAATGTCAGTAATATTCAAACATATTTGTTACTACAAAGGCTATATAATTTATTGGTGGGCACTAATGGTTTTAAGGAAATCAGAATGCTTCAGAGAACAGAAGTTATAACAAGAAGATTGCAATCAGTAAATTTTCTAATTCTTCATTCCAATTAGAAATATTAGCTTATTTTGACTTAGCCATATTCATATGTTTATAAAATGACTAACTTACATGAACAGATCTGTTTATAGTAGACCAATATTTGGTGCCATGTTCAAATTCAGCAAAAGAGGGATGCAAGCCACTGTGAGAGATTCAAATGTAAAGTTGCATTTATGAGAAACTCAGTTAACTAAAGAGTAAAATCTGAAGCAATAGCAAACTCGGCCTTAGCCATATTGGCCTTATTGAATATGCCATTGTTTGGCAGTATCATGACCTTTGAACCTGGGGTTCCTTCTGCCTGGGATGCTCTTTCCCAGATACATGCATAGTTCTATGCACAAATGTCTAACCAGAGAGGCCTTTCTGACACCCTGTCTAAATATATAAAATCTCATTATCCCCCCATCCTTGTTTTGGCTTTCTTCTTAGCTTCATATCCTCATTGATTCATTGACCTGACCCATATCTATTTTTAAATTATTATCTGTCTTCTCCATTAGAATTTATCTTGTCCCTTGATGTTTACTTTTATTCTTAGCCCCTATAAGAGTATCTGGTAGGCATTAATAAATATTTGTTGACTTGACTAGAATGTAATTGTGAAGCATTAACATCAGTTATTGAGACAAGTCTCTCAATGCTACTCCAAGCACTGTGAGAAATGAAACTTAACGGTTCTTTTCTCTAATATGCTTATAATCTATTTGGTGAGACAAGCCCATCACATATTACATTAGGTTATCTATTGATGTATAAGAAATTACCTCAAAACATGAGTTTGTGTCAGGAATCTAGGCAATTCTTAGCTAAGAAGTTCTGGCTCAGGGTCTTTCATGACGTTGCAGTCAAGATGTCAGCCTGGGCTGTGGTTATCTGAAGGCTTGACTGAGGCTGACTGATTACTTCTAAAACAGCTCCCACACATGGCTGTTATGTTAGTGCTGGTTGTTGGCAGGAGGCCTCAGTTTCTTACCACATAAACCTCTCTATAGATTTGCTAGAATGCCCTCATGGTGTGGTAGTTGGATTACTCCAGATGACTTTGCTGAAAGAGAACAAAGTAAAAGCTGCACTGTCTTTTATGAATGAGCCTTGGTGATCACATTCTGTCATGTTTGCAATATCTTAATGGTTACACAGTTCAGCCCTATTCAACATGAAGAGACTACACAAGAGTTTGGATCCCAGAAGTTGAGAATCATTTTAAATACTGGCTGACACACAAATGAAATAAGTAACAAAGCATATGTGGCCATGTGTGAGGCTAAGTTGTGAAAACATTCAAGGTTCATCCAGTTTTGAGAACTTGGACTTATAAAATTGGAAAGGCTAAGTTAGATGGCAAATTTAATCCTCACTTGGGCAAGGGTATTTGTTCCAGGCATTTAAATACAATAAACTGGATTTGTTAATTTATTAAACAAATATTTCTTAAGCCCTTCCTTGCTGTGCTAAGTCAAAGGATTATAAAATCCATAAATCCCAGACCCTGACCTAAAAGTATTTATAATCTATTTTGTGTAAGGTAAAATTTATGAGCAATAATGGTTTTGAATGAATTTAAATACTTAGTGCAATGCCTGGGGCAAGAACCGTCATCCAAAGCTAGGCATTACAAATACAGACTACAAACACACAAAATATGTGTATTTGTGGATGAAATATGTGGATAAAAAATGAAATAGTTTTCATGCTCTTATTGCAATAGATTTCAATTTAATTCAAGAAAAGTGGATTTTAGAAATTATCAGCTAAATAATCTAATACCAAAAAATTCACTGATCATGACTATGATACAGGAAGGAAAGCTACATGACCACCTTAATAAAAGGAATCAGTAAAAACTGATTTCATTCTCTAAAGCACCTCCTCCAAATCCCTACCCCTGTCCAAACAGTAATATAACCCTCTGGATCTTTAAATTCTGTAAGTTCACCAAAATGTTTACCAGTCCAATGACTCTGTATTAGTATTTGTCACACAGTGATTGGCAAAAAGGACCTTTATCATTTAAATCAAATAACACATTGTTTCTTTTAACATTTAATTTCCCCCACTTTGACAGCCTGATTTATTCTTTTTAAAATTAGTCTATTTTATCTATACATAATAATTATACATATTTATGGGGTACAGGTGATGTGTTGACATATGCATAGAATGTATAATGATCAAAACCATCACCATAAATATTTATCATTTCTTGTGTTGGGAACATTTAAATTATCCTCTTTTAGCTATTTTGAAATATACAATAATTTTTTTGCTATAGTCCCCGTACTGTGCTATAAAACACTAAACCATTTGCCTCTAATTGTACGTTTGTACCTATTAACCAATCACTCTTCATCCCCTCCCCCACCTTTCTCAGACTCTGATAACTATCATTCCATTTTCCTACCTCTATGAGATTAATTTTTATAGGTGCCACAGATGAGAGAGTATGAAATACTTATCTTTATGTGCCTTGCTTATTGCATTTATCATAATGACCTCCAGTTCCACCAATGTTGCTGCAAATGACAGGACTTCATTTTTTTTATGACTCAGTAGCATTTTAGTGTGTGTATATATATAGTTATCTTTCTCCATTTACTTTTTATGGCTCATTAGTATTTCAGTGTGTATATACACAGTTATCTGTCTCCATTCACTTGTTGGTGGACACTAAGTTTGATTCCCTATCTTAGTTATTGTGAATAGTGCTGAAGTAAACATGGGTGTACAGGTATCCTTTTGATAAAGTGATTTCTTTACCTTTGGATAAATACCCAGTAATAAAATTGCTGGATTGTGTAGTAGTTCTATTTTTAGATTTTTTAGAAACCTCCATACTGTTTTCCATAATGGCTATATTAATTTACATTCCCACCAACAGTGTTTAAGAGTTACTTTTTCTCTGCATTCTCATCAGAATTTGTTCTTTTTTGTGGTTTATAATAGCCATTTTCACTGACCTCAGATGATATCTTATTGTGGTTTTAATTTGTATTTTTCTTGATAATGAGTGATGTTTAGCATTTCTTTCATGTACTTGTTGGTTTTTTGTCATCTGTTGAGGAGTGTCAATTCTGATTTTTTACTCGCCTTCTAATCAGATCGATTGTTGTTGTTTTTTTTGTTTTGTTTTGTTTGCTGTTGAATAGTTGAGTTCCTTATATATTCTGGATATTGGTCCCTTGTCAAATGAGCCAATATTTCCTCTCATTGCACAGGTTGTCAGGTTGTCTCTTCACTAAGTTAATTGTCTCCTTTGCTAAGCAAAAGTGTTTTAATTTAATATAGCCCATTTATTTTTGCTTGTGTTGTCTGTGCTTTTGAATTCTTAGTCCTAAAATCTTTGCCTAGACCAATGTTTTGAATCATTTCCTTTATGCTTTCTCCTAATCGTTTTATAGTGTTAAGTATTTAATCCATTTTGATTTGATTTTTCTATATGGTGAGAGATAGGGGTCCAGTTTCATTTTCCGTATACGGACGTCAAGTTTTCCCACATCATTTATTGAAGAGATTGTCCTTTCATCACAGAGTGTTCTTGGTGCTTTTACAACAAATCAGATTACTGTAAATGCATGGATTAATTTCTGGATTGTCTGTTATGTTTCACTTGGCTTCTATGTCTGTTTTTATGCCGTATACAATGCTATTCTGGTTATTATAGCTTTGTAGAATATTTTGAAATCTGGTAGTATGCCTCGATTTTGTTCTTTTTCTCAGAATTGCTTTGGCTATTTGAGCTCTTTTTTGATTCTATATAAATATATATTTTTTTCCTATTTCTGTGAAGAACGTTACTGGTGTTCTAATGGCAATTACATTGACTCTGTAGATTGCTTTAGGTAGTAAGGTCATTTTTACAATACTAATTCTTTCAATCCATAAGCCTGGGATGTCTTTTGACTTGTGGCTCTTCCATTTCTTTCATCAGTGTTTTGCAGTTTTGTAGGAGGTCTTTCACCTCTTTGGTTAAGTTTATTTCTAGGTATTTTATTTTATTAAGTTTTTGTAGCTGTTGTAAATTGGATTGCTTTCCTGATTTCCTTTTCATCTAATTTGTTTTGGTGTGCAGAAATACTACTGATCTTTGTATGCTAAAGTTGTACACTGCAACTTTACTGAATTCGTTTATCAGTTCTAAAATATATTTTTTTATTATTATACTTTAAGTTCTGGGATACATGTGTAGAACCTGCAAGTTTGTTACAGGGGTATATATGTGCCATGGTGGTTTGATACATCTATCACCCCATTATCTACATTAGGTATTTTGCCTAATGCTATTCCTCCCCTAGCCCTTCACCCCAACAGGCCTCAGTATGTGATGTTCCCCTTCCTGTGTCCATGTGTTCTCATTGTTCAACTCCCACTTATGAGTGACAATATGCAGTGTTTCTTTTTCTGTTCCTGTGTTAGTTCGCTGAGAATGATGGTTTCCAGCTTCATCCATGTCTCTGCAAAGGACATGAACTCATCCTTTTTATAGCTGCATAGTATTCCATGATGTATATATGCCACATTTTCTTTATCCAGTATATCATTGATGAGCATTTGGATTGGTTCCAGGTCTTTGCTATTGTGAACTGTGCTGCAGCAAACATACATGTGCATGTGTCTTTACAGTAGAATGATTTATAATCCTTTGGATATATATATAGCCCAGCAATGGGATTGCTGGGTCAAAGATATTTCTGCTTCTAGGTCCTTGAAGAATCTAGACACCACACTGTCTTCCACAATGGTTGAACTAATTTAATTTATACTCCCATCAACAGTGTAAAAGTGTTTCTATTTCTCCACGTCCTCTCCAGCATCTGTTGTTTCCTGAATTTTTAATGATCACCATTCTAACTGGCATGAGATGGTATCTCAATATGGTTTTGATTTGCATTTCTCTAATGACCAGTGATGATGAGCGTTTTTTCTTGTTTGTTGGCCACATAAATGTCTTCTTTTGGGAAGTGTCTGTTCATATCCTTCACCCACTTTTTGATGAGCTTATTTCCTGTAAATTTAAGTTATTTGTAGATTCTGCATATTAGCCCTTTGTAAGATGGATAGATTGCAAAAGTTTTCTCCCATTCTGTAGGTTGCCTATTCATTCTGATGATGGTTTATTTTGCTGTGCAGAAGCTCTTAAGTTTAATTAGATCCCATTTGTCAGTTTTGGCTTTTGTTGCCATTGCTTTTGGTGTTTTAGTCATGAAGTCTTTGCCCATGGTTATGTCCTGAATGGTTTTGCCTAGGTTTTCTTCTAGGATTTTTATGGTTTTCGGTCTTACATTTAAGTCTTTAATCCATCTCAAATTAATTTTTGTATAAGGTATGAGGAAGGGGTCTAAGTTTCAGTTTTCTGCATATGGCTAGCCAGTTTTCCCAACACCATTTATTAAACAGGGAATCCTTTCCCCATTGCTTGTTTTTGTCAGGTTTGTCAAAGATCAGATGGTTGTAGAGGTGTGGTGTTATTTCTGAGGATTCTGTTCTGTTCCATTGGTCTACATATCTGTTTTGGTATCAGTATCATTCTGTGTTGGTTACTGTAGCCTTGTAGTGTAGTTTGAAGTCAGGTAGCATGATGCCTCCAGCTTTGTTCTTTTTGCTTAGGATTGTCTTGGCTATATAGGCTCTTTTGTGGTTCCATATGAAATTTAAAGTAGTTTTTATCTAATTCTGTGAAGAAAGTTGGGCAGCATGGCCATTTTCATGATATTGATTCTTTCTATTTATGAGCATGGAATATTTCCTTGAGCAGTGGTTGGTAGTTCTCCTTGAAGAGGTCCTTCGCATCCCTTGTAAGTTGTATTCCTAGGTATTTTATTCTCTTGTAGCAATTGTGAATGGGAGTTCACTCATGATTTGGCTCTCTGTTTATCTATTATTGGTGTAGGGATTTTGTGATTTTTGCACATTGATTTTGTAGCCTGAGATTTTGCTGAAGTTGCTTATCAAATTAAGGAGATTTTGAGCTCAGATGATAGGGTTTTCGAAATATACAATCATGTCATCTGCAAACAGAGACAATTTGATTTCCTCTCTTCCTATTTG